CTGAATACTTCTAATGATTCCGAATGTATAATATATTATTATGCTTCATATGATTTAAAAACTTTTTCATACCCAAATAAACTTTCTGAGACGGCTGATCAGCTATTGACATCACTACTTTTGTGCGGAATTTAGATTAGTTGGAATTTGAAATGGAAGGATATAAGTTTTTCGAGAAAAAAATGATGGCGCAGTAAAATGATAAAATTAGAATTGTCTTTTAATAATAATTTGATTATATTTTTAACTATTTAAAATATAAATTTATTACCAAATTGAACTTTTATTATTCTATAAATAAATCATTGTTAAAATAAGAAATTTAATTAATTTAATTGTAAAGTTTATAATCACGAGTCACAACTCATTTTTTTTGAACAAAAAAAAATTTTTTTTTTTTTACGAAATTTATTTATTTATCTTATTTATTTTTCGTTAAAACCTAATTTTCACTAACGAACTTTCAATTTAGATATTTTTTTTTTTTGAATTTAAGTCGATTCTCTAAAATTTTGAACATTGTACCGCACATAAAATGATTTAACTCAATTTCGTATTATAAAAACTTAAACAACAAAGTCTTGTATCACCACCAAAAAATTATTACGATTGATGTAATTTACTACTTATCTATAATTTAAGTATTTCCGTATTATATGAAAGTGCATGATCATTTTCATCAATCGTAATATTAAAAGTTCAAAATTAACACTGATGTTATAACGCTTGGGTTTGTCTTAGAAGATAATGCAATTATATCTGAACAATTTATCATCAACCCTGTATTTTCCTAAATAATATCAAGATAATTCACTAAAAAGATACATAAAAAAAGAATGAATTATTTGTTTAGTAAAAGTATCAGCTACAATATCTTTTGAAATTGGAGATCAACGGAACTTATCAGACTATCATACCGAGTTATTACAAATCAAAGAAAAGCAGCAAGCTTCTAGAAGACTGTGAGCAATAGCAAAATCATGATGTATTAGTGCGGTTGATGGAGATAAACTTTTAGATGTTAAGATGCAAGATATTCAGGAACAATTAAAACATGTTACAAAAGAAGACACACAACCTTACAATAAGTGAGTTGAAGTTTCACTGAGTTATTGAGCATTAAGCGTGCTTGTAATAGGGTTCTTTCGATAAGTTCCTTGAAAGAAGTTGCCAAACAGTTACGATAATAAGATTGAGAATTGATAAAAAAATCAAGATGAATAAAGTGATGCAAACTCATTGCTTTTTTAAGCGTAAAAGTAAATGAATCCTTATTTGAATTTTGACAATTCTGGAACGCCAAACTTGATAACATTATCACTTTCGCGTGTCAGTGAATAACGCCAGGATGGTTACAAAAAAAATTGTAAATCTGGATGTTTTACATGAGACGTCAGACGTCTGAGACGCGATTTTTAAGTTTACAAGTTTGTTTTATTTTAATAATATATTATTTTTACGTTTAAAAATGGTTTGTTTATTTAAAATAAATAATTATTAAACACATAGTTCTATATTGGGCCGGTGACCTACAGTACCACAGTATGACTAAAAATCATATAAGCGGTATAAGCGGACTTTGATCAGCTAAAATATTATCAGACTAATCGGGACTATTAATTATGAGTCATCTCTTTTGTCTCATGATTTTGATTATGACATAATTGACTAACAAATTTATATAAAAAGCCCCTCCAGAAATTTTTCTCTCTCTTTCTCTTCACTCTTGTCAATAAACTTATTTATTTCACAGTATTTTATCCCTTCCTTTTTAAAAAGTTCTTAATAAAATTTTTTTATTTTATTTTAACTTAAATTTTTACTTTTGTTTTGTTGTTAATACGTCCTTCTGTCTCTCTCTCACACATTTCAGGGAAGACTTATGATCTAAAGCTTAGGGTGGGCTTCAAAGCCTAATAAACAAAGACGTCACATACACCTAAGAAAGGGACGAAGTGTCAAAATTTTTGATGATATTTTCAGCAAAGCTAATAGTAAATATTTATTACTTTATTATTTTTATACTTGAAACTTTATTACAAATATTGAAAAAAAAATCTTTTTTTATTATAGAGTGATAGGATATAATGAAGATGAAGGTGTACATATTTTCTTAGAGAAGTTCTTGAAAAAGAATGTGTATCAAGTATTAAAAACGCGAAATTTTTTTTTTTGATGTTTATACTTTATATTTGTTATCTGATTTCTTATTATTGAATTGTATTCAATTATTTATCAATTACAGCATTATTTTGTATTGAAATACTGGACAACAGATAAAAATTCTCTGAATGGAGCAATACTGATTTTCTAGATGAGTGTAAATGGCTTATTAAGAGACTTTAAAAGAGGTGTGTATTTTTTTATTTGCAAAGTGGGTAACTTCCTAAGCTAAAATTAGAACGGATAACTCATTGAGTCGGGGAGTTCACAAATTTTACTTAGGAGGGTACTGGATTTATTTGTTTGGGTTGGGTAAGGGTGAGCAAAGTAGGTAATTCCTATGAAATTACCTGCTTTTTT